CTGCGTGGCTGCCCACTTCCGGGTCGGAGGAGCACAGGAAATAGCTTGTGCGCATGCACAAACGTTATTTGTGCGTGACAAGCATTATTTCCGGTGCACATCCAGGTCGGAGGAGGCCCGTGCACATGCGCACAAGCTATTTCCGGTGCTCCTCCCACCCGGAAGTGCACCGGAAATAGCGTGTGTGCATGCGTATGGGCCCGCACTCCCCTGCCCTCCGGCCCGCTGCGCAATCGGCGCTGGAGACACCAGCCCAAGGCGCGGTAAGTTTGCTGACCCCTGGACTAATTGCATCCTGACCATCGTGTGAGATACTGCGTTGTTTGCTTTTGTGTTTGTGTCAAACTTTCACAAGCTGCTTTCTTTTTCACACATGACACTGAGACAGCAAGCAGGAGTAAAATCAAATTTTCTGCTGTGCTCATAACAAGGCAACGAAGCATCCTTTTGTCCTAAACTGCACCAGCCACAATTGCGATAAAACACTTAACTGCCCTGAGATTTTCTTCTATCAGAGTAGGCAGCTACTTCTGGATTAGGCAATTTGGATGGTGATTTATTCTTCATTACTGAAAAGAGAAAGTGAGCAAGCCCTTTCAGTCATTGCCTAATGAATGCTGTCTGGTTATCTGAACCCCATTCATTTTTTGTGAGCAAGCCCCATTGAATTTAATGGAGTTGGTGAACTTTAGGGGTGGAGGAAGAAAAGTTGCTGTGATACCAAACTGTTAATCAATGTCACAGTCAAGTGGTTCAAATAACCAGTTCTTGGAACAGTGACTGGAAAAACAAATTGGTCCTTTTCTCTGCAGTAATGTAATTAAGATTATCAGTGGGCTGGAACCAAGCTGGGTTCTGCATGTATTGCTCATGTAACTCCTTTCCAGTACGGTAAGACAGGAAAGCTCCAGCACCTAGACAGCACTTAACTGAAATGCAATGCAAAATTGGGAGCGGGGTACCAGGGTGGGGGGAGTGTTGATATTCTGCATTTAAACTTTCTGATTGTGCAAGCAGAAATCAAAGTTCTGAAATTTGAAAAATGGTAAATACATGCTTATTGCATAGCTCTTAATTGTTGTGTTTCTCCAAGAACTTGGCATAGTCAAATTTCAAAGAGGCAAAATCAAAACAAGCAATAATGTTAGGAGGGAAGGAATCACCATCATCATTAATGAAAAATGGAATAGAAAAATCAGTGGAATGAATGAATGGAATTCTGCTTTGTCAGAAGCACAACAGACGAGTAAGAGCTAAAATACCCAATTTGCAGGGAAAAATTGATCCCACTTGCCCAAATACCAAATGCTATCATTTTCAGATCTTAAAATTTGATTTTAAGGGACTCTAAAAAGTTGAATTAGCCAGTTGTCAGGCAATAGCTGTAAATCTTATTTAATAGTTTACACTAGTTTGCAAAATGTACAAATATGTACCATAGCATATATTTAAAGTTTGTGGATAATTATTAGAGACCATTGTTTGATTTTTTTAAATTTATATTCCACCCTTCCCCCTGAAGGAGCTTAGAAATGCAATCATAAAACATTTAAAAACCAACAGCTAAAAGCAGTTCTATATTTTTTATTTAAAAATTATTAAAAACAGTGATCTCAGGGTTGCCAGGAACAGTATCTGTCAGCTTTGTGTGTTGTTTTCATTATTTTCTATGCCTAAAGGACTTCTGGCTAGATCTTTCAGGCTAAAGCAGAGGATGTAATGCATGTGAAGCAGCCATAGCGCTGTGTTTACATGGGGCAGAGCTATAGAAGCTGCACACACATGTTTTACAGAGTCCTTAGTGGACAGAGAGCTTCACACAGTAAAGCAAGCAGTGGTACATTGCATGGTTGGAATACGGGATGCCACTGTCTCCGGAGGTCAGTCATTCTGGCATTGTTCTTTTGTTCTTGATCTACCAACAGGCAAAACCTGGGCCCAGGTTTCCTTCCCCCGGTCGAATTAATGCACCCAGACCAGCAGCCTTCTGATGTTCAGTATTCCACAAGGGGGATCTACCCGGAGGAAATGCCATCCGTGGCCCGGCCGCGACCAGTTGGAAGCACCGCAGGTACTTGAGGGTTCCTTAAGCTATTGCGCACTTGCAGTGACTCTCTCATAACCAGCTGGCCCCATTCCACAACTCAAGCATTTATTGGGAGCAGATGTGGCTGCATCTAGAATGCAAACAAGGAGCTTGCTAGAATAATAGAACCAAGAGAATTGTAGAGTTGGAAGTGACCCAAGAGTCATCTAGTGCAATGAAGTCCCCTTCAACTCTGAGCATGTGTATCCTGCATGCATGGACCTGGGGAGGAACAGGATGGCTGAAGCTACTTATAGAAGGTGCTCATTGGTCTCCTAATAAAAGGAATGGTAGGGTACCTAACATAATGCATTCTTAGCTGAGCACAGTTACAGTGCACATATATATGTGTGTTCTACTTCCACTGCCAGAGACATTATGCCTCTGAATACTAGCTGCTGGGAATCACAGGTGGGCAGAGTGCTCATGTCCATTTTGTAGGCTTCCCACAGGTGTCTGGTTGGCCACTGAGAACAGGATGCTCAGCTAGATGGGCTAATGTCCTGATCAACAGGCTTATCTTATGTTCTAAATACTAAGTTATACATCTGGGTAGCTTTCTGAGGGCATCTAAAATTATATAGTGAGGGCACCTGCCTAAATTCAATAGGCAGGGACTTCCAAAGCACCATTGCTGCCACACTCAAAGATCGGCTCCTTGCAAATGTGCAATGAACGTTATGTGGAACTTGTAAACACAACAGTTTCTATGTGTTCTAAAGGGAGGTTGTTTCGTTTAAAGAGGAAATGTACACATTTCATAACTGATTCCAGTATTTGAAGCAGGCCTGAGGACATCTCCAGGATACTGGTCTCAACTTCACAACTAGCCAGGAGTTATAGGCAACTGCTACACACCTGTAAGAAACCGGTGTTACATCTGTAGAGCTGAGTGTCTTGCAGTAAGCAAATATTTCTGCTCTTCCACTAAGGGCAAATCACTAGCATGCAAACCTTAAAACACACACACATTCTTTTCAATTACACATTAATAATACTTGCAGTATTTATAGGGCTAGTGGGCCAGAAGTATTACCTGGTCTGTTCCTTACCTGTTTACCTCCACCATGCCTAATAGAACCCTAATGTTATACCACACAGAAACACCTTCCCATTTGCAAAAAAAAAAAAAAAAAAAAAAAGGACGTGCATGCAAATGGTCCTTTTGTTGCCCTTCCTTTGGGAGCTTTTTTAAAAAAGAAAAGAAAAAAAGCTTTAGTTTGATTAAATGAAGTCAGACTTTCCTTTTCCTCACACGCCACTCCCCCCCGCCCATATACTTGTTTTGATCCCCTGCTGCTGCCAGTTTTCATTTTCCCTTCACCCTTCTGTTGCTGCATGGAAAGACCAAACAGAAAACAAACAAATATTTGCTTTTAAGGTTCTCAGATACAGCACCTCACTCAGGTGGGAATTGCTAGCAGGATCGGAGGTCAACAAGTGGAGATCCCCTCAGGCAGAGCAGGGCATGGCCAGCTGGGGGAACCCGGGTGGCCCCCGTATCGTGGAGAGGATGAATATGCTAGGAGAGAAGCAGTGAGTACTGTGCTTCATGTTTGAATAGTTTCCGAAGCAGTGTTCTGTTCAGCTGTTTCTTCCCCCCCTTTTTTTCCATCCTGTGCTGCTTGGGGAACTTCCTCTCAAGACATCTCTACCTGCTCCTCTGACCTCAGCCCGCTGCTTTTGTCACTTTCGCATTCCAGCCCCCAAACTCTGCTTCTGTGTCTTCTTCATTATCACCCTTGGCTTCTCTCCTCTGTGCCCAGAGGATGGAGAGCCTGTGGCCCTCCAGATGTTGCCCGGACTCCAGCTCCCATCAGCCCCAGTCAGCATGGCCAGTGGTGAGGGATGATGGGAGTTGCAGTCCAACACCAGGGATGTTTAACAAACCAGTTGCGTTCGAGTGAGATTTGAATGCTGGGAATCGCAGGTGGGGAGAGAGCGCTGTGGAGCCCGTGTCCAGCTTGCAGGCCTCCCGCAGGCACTGGCTTGGCCACTGTGAGAAAGGCCTGACCCAACAGGCTCTTCTTGCGTTCTTACGTACCATCTGGATGGCCGCAGGCCCCCACCCCTGATCCATGCTCTCGGTGGGCTCTGCTCCCCTGAAATCGTCTCATGAGACCACTGTAGGTAGAGAGCACTAACAACAGCAACAAAGACACAGATCGTCTCGCTGATGTTAGTGGAGCCTTGTCAGTTCCTAACATCGGCTACGGAGTACAGAGTTGAAGTTGCCTTGAGCACAGCATAACAAAGTGCCATGTGTTTGCACAGGGATGTTTTAGTTTTAGAAACCAGTTGGGGCAAGACACTACTTCTAGAACATGGGGTGGCCTTCAGTTTTTCTCAAGAGCAGACCCATTGAAATTAAGAAACCTAAAAAAAGTGGGTCACATGGGGTGGTTTGTTTTTTGTTTAAAGTTTTTAAGTATGATCAAAGCCCACTTGAATTAGTGGGATTAATCTGCACAACACGGTCAATGCTGTCTTTGTCATGCTACCTTCACCTTTTGGAGAAGACCCCAAAACATTGCTTGTTCCTTTTTGTAATCAGCCGTAGCTCACTAGTGGGTTCTCCCAACTCTCTGTTGTCTTGCCAGCTCCTTCCTTCGTTGAAGGAAGATGCAGTACCGCCTGAAGTGCATTATTGCAAGCAATAATGGTGTCCCCATTCCACCCACCCTATCTGAGCCCCAAAATGGAGAAATAACTTTTAAAGAGACTCAGAAAAAGAATAAATCACAATGCATTCCTGGCTTCCCAAAGGAAAAGTTGGAACTCTCAACACTGCTGCTGATCAGACATGACGTTAGCTAGGGATGGGCAATTGGTCCCTATTATTGGGCCATGGAGGCAAACTTCTAGTAAGTGGTGTACCACAATAGCCATAGTGAAACTGGAGTCTTTGTGGAAGGGCCATAGTTCAGTGGCAGAGCACCTGCTTTGCATGCAGAAGGTCCCGGGTTCAATCCCTAGTATCGCCAGGTAGGGCTGGGAGAGGCTTCCGCCTAGAACCCAGGGCAACTGCTGTCAGTCAGTGTAGGCAGTATTGAGCTAGATAGACCAGATGATCCGACTTGGTATAAGGCAGGTTCCTCTGCTCTTTGACCCTACAATCTTGCCATTTCGTGCAACATTACACGGTTGCCTTCATGCAAGGAAGGGGGAAGGGAAGAGATTTGGAACACCCCATACAAATTTGGCCATCTGTCCCACTGTCTCTCCCTTTAGTATGTTTTGTATTAACCCTGCAGGTGACACGACTCCTATTTTGGGAGAAGACACTTGTGAGAGACCTGTTATTTCAGCAGACACGATGGTGGCTTTAGGTGCACCGGGGCCATTCCACAAGGAAACGTGCAGCAGGCCTTGGGGAACACGCATTCTCCTGTGCCCTATATAGTTTCCTTATCACCATGTAAACCATAGCTGCCCAGCTGGTGCCGAAAATTGGGCAAGTGCTCTGGGCGGATGAGGGCAGGAGGTAGGCGATGGGCAGGCCCAAGACTGGGTCAGTGCAAGAAGATAACCTGGTGGCTTCCCTCTGCAGCGGCATTGCTCCAGTTCAGGGAAATCTGTTTATCTGAAAGCGTTAGATCAGGTGACGGCACTGGATTGGCCTTGTGACACCACCTGACTTTGTGGCCCAGGAGGATTCTGGTTTCCTGTGTGACATCTGTGAACCTTCGCAGGGCAGCGCTATGGGCAGCCTGGTTTGAGCCCCACAGCCTCTGATACCAGGTCCAAATCATCCATATATTTGTACTGTCCTCAGAAACACATAATTGAGTATCTCTCTCTCTCTCTATCTCTCTTTCTCTACCACCTGCTGGTTCTAACTGGGTTAAACTCCTCTGTACTTGTTTGCCACAGCAATTAGCTGAATTTCTGCTGCTTTTGCATGCCCTGCCATTGCTAATATTGTTGGCTCAGTGTTGCTTTGCAGCCCTTTGTTGGTTCTTTCTTCCTTCGGCCTATTTTACCTGTACTGCCCAAGTTTTTGCAACTTCTTACAGTTTGGGTTTGTGTGTGCTCTCCTTTCAAGAGCACAGGGGAGTATTCTGACGCTGAAGCGGACGCGGTTGGTGTGCAAACATTGTTTAATTTTGATGATCAGTGCATGCATCGCCCATTCAAATGTATTTTGGTAAGGCTACTTATTACAATCCAACGACCGTCCTTTTGTTATGACTTCCCTTCATCTTACTCACCTTCATGCTTTTCAGAGCAAATTAATTCCCCTCTTCCCCAGTTCGAGTCCATGGCTCTTTTTAGACAAGCCAGATGGCGTGTTATAAATTGACGCTGTCAGCCCTGCTGCAAAAATACATAACAGGCATGCACCTTGACGTAGTCGCCTTTTTGTGGTCTCAAAGCAGATGTGAAAACAGTCTAGGTATTAAATTCCTGATACAAATAGATGGTGCTTTCTGACCCACTGCACGGCCATTAATCTCCAGGTCACTGAAAACAAGCCCCGCACCAAACCCCAGTGCCTTTTGGCACACCTTGGAGGTTAGTGTTATTATGGGATAAGCAATTGTGGACTGGAATCCACTTCATCAGATTTATGAATGTTTTAATCCTAATTTGGGGTGTGTGTATAAAATCACACAAACACACAGTTGTGGGGGGGGGTGAGCAATGAGGTCAGAGAGAAGTAAAGCACAAAAAATGTAGACGGTATGTAAAATAGGCCTACATACATGTAGTGTAAGTACAACGATCACTTCTTAATGCCTCCCCTCTGCATCCACGCACGTATGTCATGAATCAGTACTGACTGTGGGAAACACAACACTCCTTGCTGTCTCCTCAGTCGGGCCACAGCAGATACATGTTTCATCCTGGAGGGTATAGAATTGTAGAATTGGAAAAGGACCATGAGGGTCAATAGTCCAGTCCCTGGCATTGCCTGAATCTTTTGCCCAGCCCAGTGGGGCTTGAACCCACGACCTTGAAATTAAGAGTCTCATACTGTACTGACTGAGCTTTGCTTCAGAGTCAGTCTTGATATGTACGAGACAAGTATTTGGCCTTAAATATATTATTGTAGCTGGGTGTTGTTACATCTGATTTATTTTAAATAATTTAGATTGGTTGTTGGAAATATTTTTGCGTTTATTACTTGTGCATATGCCAGGTTGGCACACTTATGTACACACCCATACCTAAGTGACCACTGAAGAAGGCCTTTTTTCAAAAAGTGTTTGTTTCTATCTATCTAGCTATACATATACCCCCCCTGGGCTTTGACATCAGGACCTCCTGTTAAAGAGCAGGTAATAATGGTAGTGGTGTTGGTGGTGATGATGATGATGATAGTGTTTATCATGGAGCTACAACAGTTCATTTTAATTTTGTTCTCTCAGTTTGCTTGCTGTCATTATACATACCTGCTGACTCTGTATATGCATCTGATGAAGCAGACTCTAGTCCATTAAAACTTACACCATCCTTCCTAACATGTTTTAGTCTTAAAAGTGCCACAAGACTCTGGTTGTTGTTGTTTTTTACTGCGACAGGCTATTACGGCTCCTCTCTGGAAGCTGTGTTTTAATAGTTGCTTGTAGAGCAGCCCTGAGACTCCAGGAGCGCCAACATTTCTCCCAAATAATTGCATGCGTTCAGACTTTTCCAGTTTTGCGTTTCAGATCCAAGAGAAACTCACTTGCTTTCTTCTCTGCCTTGGTTTTTGTTTGTTTGGTCTTCTGCCTCCTCATCTTTTCACCTACACTTCCCAAACAGAAAACGCAGTAACCCTTTGTGCCTTTCTCCCAGACACATACGCCTGGACATCAAGAATATTCCTCCTCACCAGTATTCCAGATGCCGAGGACTTCGGCCCGACAGCCCTCAGCTCCTCCTGTGCAGCTTCCACACAGCAACCACCAGGGCCCGGGGCTCTGCTACAACACCAGCTCCACTGAGGACCTGCAGCCGGGTCACTCGTCGGCCTCTCTCATCAAAGCAATCCGAGAGGAGCTCCTCCGCCTCTCTCAGAAACAGACCGTTGTGCAGAACTTCCACAGCTGATTTGCCATGTCGCTGCAAATCTGCCAAGTGTATCTGCTTCCCGTGGAAGCTAGACTCACAGGAAATCAGCAGGAGCCCTGTTCTTCTGTCAGAGGAATGAGCGTGTACAATACAAGAGAATTGGGGCACGGTGAGAAAGAACTCTGCAGAATTGGCGGCAGCACAAGAGAGAAATTCGTTCTTGAGGGTGAGGGAAACCTGGGAAGATGTAACAAGCATTGGGCTTGTGTGTCTTTGATTGGGATCTTTGGTTGGGACTGTTTCGATGACAGTTCTGGTCTAGAAGCCAAGCGCTGCAAGAGATGGCAAAGCCATCCCCTAACAGAGCAATGCACGAAACTCCATGTTTGAGGAAGGAAAGTTTGCAAGATGGAGTTATAGCTGTTTTCTCATGAGAGACTGCAAGAGTCTGATGGTTTCAAACACCCCCAAGAAGGAGGGCCGTGTGCGCTGCTGATAAGTGTCACTTTGAATACACAAGAAGCCGTGTTGATCCTGTGCAAGGAATTACTTTAAAGAAACCGTTGTTAAGACTCCACAAATAAAAGACTTGGAGCCACCTGTTAACAAACCGGAACAATAATAGTTGTTGTTAAATATTGCTCTGTGCTTCCAAATGGAGCCGTTCTCTGCACTCTCCCTTGTTGTTCTTCTGGTGCTGAAGCTTCAAAATGTCCCTTCATCCTGATGTTTGCAAAGTTGAAATGATGGCCTTTTTAAAAACAAAAACAAAACCCTAACTAACTAACTAACTAACAAAAAAACCAAGGATATAGTCATTTGTATTCATTCAGGCTGAGAGAGAAAAACAATTCTCCTTTTTAAAAAAAAGAAAGTAAGGACTTACTTGGTATTCATAATTGATAGGTGGAAATAGGAGGGGGTGGAAATGTTTAAGGCAGTTTCACAAGTGACATGAAGACACTATTCTACATGGTGAGGACATCTCAACACCTGCATTAATGACACTGAAATTACACCTCAGGCAGTGGGGGAAAGGTGATGTACAAATGCTTTAAATAAACACAACTGGCTCCAGTTTTGTGATGAAAGAACATCAGAGAGCCCCTAGCTAGCCCATTGCCATTCCATTTTTCTGCCTCCTCCCCACCTTACAGTGGGAGCCGGTGTGGTGTATTGGTCAAGAGCAGTGGACTCGTAATCTGGTGAACCGGGTTTGCTTCCCCGCTCCTCCACATGCAGCTTCTGGGTGACCTTGGGCTAGTCACACTTCTCTGAAGTCTCTCAGCCCCACTCACCTCAGTGTTTGTTGCGGGGGAGGAAGGGAAAGGAGATTGTTAGCCGCTTTGAGACTCCTTAGGGAAGTGTTAAAGGGGGATATCAAATCCAAACTCCAACTCCTCCTTCTCTTCTTCTTCTGCTTCTAACCTGAAAGGTGTATGCCAACAAGGGGAGAACATGGAATGTGTACATTTAATGTGCCTCCATGCTATTTCAAGTAGGTCACCTTCCCTTTGCCCCCATCCTCTGCTGCAGAAAACCAAGAGCCTTTCATATTGAAGTATTTCTCCACTCCTAATTCTCATCATTATTACCAGGGCTTACTTGCATCCAGAACTCATTGGAGCTCAGTTCCGGCACCTCTCAGGTGGGCACCATTGCCATTCTAAGAGGACAAGGGAGGTGTTCATAGTGTATTCCAGCTCCTCTTTTTCTAGAAAAATAGTACTGATCATTACCATTTAAAAAGAGAGAAGCAAATGCACCATCTTTCAGATGCTGCACATACTCCCAAGGGGTGAGCCTAGTTAATTGCTTCATCTTCAGAAAGGGTGGAGACAAGTCTGTTCAAGATTATGTTTGTCCACGGCTGACCCAACTAGCTATGAAACACTGGATGGGAATGTCAATCCACTTCCTCACTGGTGCCTCAATTTTAAAATGAGCATCTTCTAGGACACGGTAAGCCAGTGGACAGCATTCACGTGGCAGGAAAGAGGCAGAGGGCTTTTCTGCAGTTTACACGAGAGCCAGCCCACGTGTGCAACCAGGTATACAATTGATGGGGAGCTAAAGCTGATCTTGGTTCTCAGGTTAGTGAAATGTAAGGTATACATGGTACCAGACATGCTTCATTCACTTCATTCATTTCTTCCCTTGAAAAAGTCATTTCCCACACACTGTATTTTTAAAGTGTATTCTTTAGGCATGTTAGGTATTCACTTGAAATGCAATGTTAGTGGAGGCTGATCTGTTAGGGCAAATGGGGCACTGCCCCACCAACTTCAGTCTGCTCTCAGCCAGCCCCTGCTTGCCTTCTTACTTGCAACCAGCCCAGAAGGTAGCACTGCCTGTTATCTTCATCCTCTATAGAGTCAGTGTTGCTCTTGCGGAACTCAGCAGGGAAGAGGATGGGGACAAAACTGGAATTAGTTTTGCTCCGCCTGTCGTTGGCTCTGGCTCCACCTACTGGTGGCCTCCCAGCCTTCCACCCTACCCACCAAAATGGGCACCAGCCCCGACTGATAGTAACATGCAAATTGGCCTTGAAAGGCAGTCTTAACCTCACTTGTGAAAACTCCCTTTGTGTTTAAGCTGGGGAGGAGGGGGTGGTAGATTAAGCTTTTGTGTTAATTTGCCAAAAGGTGACGAATGCAGAAGTGCCGCGTTTCTTATGAGACTTAAAAGCGGCAAGTCTGTAGTTTGAAATGAGACGAGCAGGAGAGGCCAGCCAGGATGATATCACAACACCAGCACTAGTTTGTCATAAACCACCCTCCGCATTTGGGTTCTTGATAAAGCCTACAAATAAAGTGTTAACCTTGTGATGAAAAACAGGACCATTTTAGAATAACAAAAGCTTAGATTTCACCATTAGATGCAACCTCTGCATTTGTACGTGTTCCTACTGATAACGACGGTACATGCCATCCAGGCACTAGTTTTTACAGAATTTTAATTTTATTGCTAGTTGTGAGGTGTAATTTACTGTCCTACAGCCATTGCTTAATTGTAACCTGCGTAATAATAACGAGTGGAAATTCTAACTAAATTATTTTATTTGTTGGAGTGTATTTTTTCCCGTTTTTGTTTTTTAACTTAGACTAAATTAAAGCTAAAGCAGTGGCACAAAGACAGTCGAAAGCAGTTATTTGTGTGGAGGTGTGGCTTCAATGCATTTACAGTCTTAAGGTATTAATGAATGAACTGATGGTCTACCCCCTTGCTTGATTCACCAGTGTGTTTAACCTTGCTTTGTTGATTTTTGAAAACGCACGCCACATTGAATACCTTGACACACACACCCTCCACTAATGTGTTTGGAGCAAGAGTGCCAGTGCATCTTGGTTCAATCAAACAGAAGGAGCTGATTCACATATCTTTTGCTGGTAGATTTGGTTCCTTTCCCATGGATACCATTGGGGCCCTCTACACGAGCTATGAGATCCATGTGACAAATACCAATCTGTAGACTGGGGAAATTGAGATTGCTGAGCTCTTTGATGAAAATCCTATTCAGGGCTGTCTTAAGCATACGTGGCGCTGGGGTGCAAAGATCCGCCTGGTGCCCCCCCCCCAAGGTTGCTCAGTCCTAGGCGCGCAGGAGGGTGGAGCCTGCCAACCACCTCAGTGTCTCGCTGGCTTGGTTGCCCCCGAACGTGCGGCACTCCAACCAACAGGCAGGCTCTTCCCAGGACTCGACTCTCAGGCCCTGGACTCTCAGCCTGGCGCCCTCTGGTGCCTCGCACCCCTAGCGCCTATAGGTAAGACGGCCCTGATCCTGTTGCCTAAGAGGGGCTGATTCATCATAGGTTGAAAATAGATGTATAGAATGAAGAACAGGCACGAGAAGCCAAGGCTGTAATCATATTAATATCCAATATTATCAAAAGCATGCAAAAAGTAATTTTAAGTCAATGGCAACACTCAGGCGCAACTTCATAACCCATGGTAATGAGAGCATAGATGAATGATGTAGCCATCTCTCCTTCCTTGACTC